CCCAGCCTCGGTGGTCCCTGTTTAACCTGTTAACCAATTAAATGTGATTTTGGATCCATAGCCCAAAATTTTCAAGCCCCAGTGACTTGTGCAGATCCATCTGGTCCCTTGACAAACTGGACTGATTTTGGGAAGAATATCCTTAACTATTTTCTGTATTTTCCCTTTAAAGCAAATGTAATGTTCATTTGACAGCTTCAGTTTCTCTCAGGTGGCTAACAAAGCTGACCTGTATCAGCATGCATGACAAGTTTTGAGTACCTCCACTTTACAACAAATACTCAAAATCATACACAAGGCGGGAGAAAGGTATGCATTTGAAATGCCACCAGAACATTGCTTTCACAGGTCTTGTAACTTTTGGGTAAGTACTATAGAAGAGTAAACCACTTTGACTCCAATGCGGCCTCACCCTCTCCCATCTTGGATTCCATAAATCACTTCTGGCAGGTAGCTGGGAAGCAGCTGCTAATGATAGTTTTGCTCTGGAGCACAGGAAGTCACCTTTTAACCCTGCCTGCTGTTGTTTGTCTCTTAGAACTGTGACAAAAGAACAGATGTGAACAACATGCCAACTGTCAAAAGGATCTGGTCAAAACACTACAGGAAACCTGCCCAGACCCACATCATGCTGATCTAATGGAAGCTCAGCTAAATTCATCTTAAGCTACCTTTCAGCTCTGGGTTTTCCCTTTGTCCCCCCTCCGCCAGCCTGACATTCACAGGATTTAACGAATGTTTCCTGCTCCATTTCCTCCCTCCATTATCCGACATATGCAGGAAAAGCACTTTTTTAAAAATGAGAAATAAATGAAATATTTTCACACTTTCACAGCAATGAAATGCAGTGCTGGTTTCTGAAAAGATCCACTATTAACCCTCTGCTTTCTTCAGTGTTTTTCAACACTCACATCTTTATTACACTGTTAATGAACTATGTGCACATCACTGGAGCTGAGCATATAATGTGATTAATTTAGCTTTTTTCTGCCCATAGAATAATATCCATTCCTAGACTGAAATTTCATTTGCTATATTCATTCAACTTGTTTTAGCTCATCAATGGGACAGAGACACTGTCTTTTAGAAAAACTCCAGATACATTTCAGTAACGATCACAAAATAAAATCATAAACAATAGTAAATAATGACTTCCTACGTCATTGTGTAGTTGCTATTGGTCAGGTAAATCACAAGATCTTTAATGGAATTCTGGTGTTAATGCTCGCACAAGCAAATTTAAAATTCAGTTTTCATGAATAACCACAAACACGATTTCAAAATCTGATAAAGAGCCAGCAACACTCAATGTCTCTACGACTAGCAGACAGCTAACACAAAAACAGTGTGAACTCTACCAAAGACAAGTCACTTGAAAATAAAATACATATTTTATTCTTTTGGCATTATCTACTCAGCTTTGTGACATTATGAATATTTGCTCATTGATGTGATACAACAATGATGACAATGGGAGGACTTTAGAAAGCTGAATATTTTTTTGGGCTGTGCAAGGGAGAAGATGAACAGAAGAAATAACCATTCAAAATTGTTAAAGTGAACCACAATGCAAAAGAGAACAATTTCAAACTAACTTTACTTACTGTGAAGACATCATCATCACCAATCTCAGCCTCATTGTGGATCGTTGAAGAGGAAGTAGTGGATCCTAGAAAAACATTTAAAAATGTATAGTAATGTCATATATTTTAATAAATTAAAAGCTCGTGGATTGTATTTGGATCTTGATCCCTGGTATTATGAGGGATAATTACAATCTTCACAAAGTAAAACTGACACAATAAAATTATAAAGTAAGCAAGTGGTACCAAATTAACAAGAAATAAGACTTAATATATCTATTGCTAAGTAGGTTAGAAAGGTGACATCCAGAAAAAGTTCCTTGAATTGATACTTATGGCTGACTTTTCATGACAAGTTTTGAGTAGCTCTAACTTACAACAAATGCTCTATAGCAATACACAAGCCTGGAAAAAAGTATAATAATTATAAGCACTTACAATAATACAGTATTTTAATGTTCAAAAATATGATAAAATGATCTAGGGTCAGATCCTACACTGAACTAAACTGAATTATATCAAGCTAAGAATCTCACTCCTGAAGTCAGAAAACTTACTACTGCTACTGAAAAAAAACGAACGCTCAGCCGGAATGGGAGTCAGTCTAAGTTCAGGAAATAACAACCTACCCTGACAATGTTTTGTTGTCAGAGCCCCCCCCCCCCATATAAACAAAACATATAAAAACTGTCAGAAGAAATAACAAAAACAGGTAAAAATAAATTAATTTGAGGTGGTTCTAATTAAACTTGTGGTAAATATTAGGGTTTAACATTAAATCTGCAAATTTCATCAGAGAATCCTTCTTTCAACTCATTTAACATTTTATGCATTTAAAAATGGACACTGAGGTATTATCTACTTTTTTTGTGGAGGGTTGGGGAAGGGGGAAGAATACACTCTGCATGTGGGGTTTTTTTTACTAACCAAAATAATCATAAAACTTTACTGTACCAAAACTCTCTCCCTCCCACATCACACATTACTTTTGTTTTTGCTTAGCAGAGCTAAGCTTTTAGTAACTTTTTTTTTTAAAAGATGTAAGTTGTTTGTATTTGTGCAGACAATGAGTTACGTTATCTATGAAAGTCTCAGAGTGGTGGCCGTGTTAGTCTCTAATGAAAAAAAAACCCTTAAAAAACATTGGTCTTATCTGAGGCATGCTAGCCTGAGTTTAGAATTCATGAAGACATGATGAGATAAAGGCAAAATTTTGAAGTAAGGAGAAACGTGCATACATATTCACATCTTTGGTATGATACATTGAAAGCCCAGCCCCCATATTTCCAGAGCTGTGCAAGATCACTGATACCAAACAGAATTTCGGTAGTTCTGATACTTCAAGGATTAAGTTTTGTATACAAGCAGGGCTCGACAAACCGCTGTTTCTACTCGTCCATGGTGAGTAGATTTCAGCCGGTCGCTCCATGTGCCCCATTCATCAGCGCTGCATGCATGCGCGCGCAGTGCTGGTCTGGTGCATGCGTGGTGCGGGGCTGGCGAGTAGCTCTCGCTGCAGTTTGTCGAGCCCTGTATATAAAATTATTGAATGCAGTTAAGCTTCAAATGCATATGCTTGATTGTGCTAATTGGACCAGATTTAATAGATGGTATTGAGTAACAGTGACTCAAGTTCCGAACTTCAACGTTTATATATATGAGAGAGGGTTATTGGTTTTAATTTGGATAGTCATATTTGGAAGTTAGGTAAGATTCCATTCATCAGGATCAGTCTGTTCTGTGAATGTGATAAACACAGATGCATTGATTTTGAACAGTACCTAAAAAACCAGCAGCATACAGCTTTAAATTTATGCTTGAATATAGAATTCTACTTTATTTCAATATATCTTAAGTTAGGAGTTGCCTCCATGTACAAATTAAGGATGTTAAAGAGCAGTTATTTAGCTAATCGTGTAGTCAATACAAATTGTATTGACTACACGATTAGTTAATAAGGGGAACTGCAGTGGGGGTAGCTCCCGGAGCCAGCACCGAGCAGTCCTGGCTCATGCCGGCTCCGGATCTCTGCATTTTGAATGTATTCAAAGCCCAACAGCTCTTACTACATTTAAAATGCAAAGATATAGCACTCCTGGATCAGTGCGAGCGGGGACTCCTTAGTCCTGGCTTACGCTGGGTCCAGCAGCCCCTGTTCACGGCTGCCTGGGCTGGGAGGCAGTGGAGATGGGGAGAGGCAGCACCACAGAGACAGTGCTGGGCAGGGAACAGCTTTTAAGCTGGCTTCCCCCAGCACTAGACTACCCGATAAGCTCAGCCTTATCATGAGGCTGAGTACTCGACTACTTGCTTACATTCCTAGTACAAACATCCTCACACACCATTTCATCACAACTTCCCTTACAGATAGGGCATATACATTACTAATATGTTGAGCACAGGGCCTAATCCTATGCCCATTGATTTCCATGATGAAGGGTCAAGTGCATACACACAAACAACTGGTGAGGATTTGATCTAATCTCTCAATGGATTATCAGTGAAAGGTCTGCTGTAAAGGACAGAACTGAATGTGGAAGGCAGGAATTTCGAGCATCAGGAATGGCAGAGAAAAATGGAAAAAGGAACAGAGTGGAAAAGGGATTCACACAAAATGCAACTGGACATAATGACAGAGATGTAGGTTGGTGTGGAGATGTGCAAGGCTTTAAAAGATACGTATGAGACATTAAACTGCCATGTGTTGGCACTAGAATCGCTAAAAATGTTCAAAAATTAAAAATCCCAAAATGTAGGGAACCAGATTTTTAGCACAAATATCCTAATTTAAAACACAGTTAATTAATATTTATATATTTAATCCAGTCATACAGATGAGAAGACAGCTTTGGCATCACAACTACCTACATATGAAAAGCCATTTATCAAATAAGAACAAAGGATAATTCTGAAGCTATATTTTGATTTTTGTTTGAGGGTAAAATAAATGTGAACAGGAAAAGTTTATAACAACCTTTAAGTATGGAGAATTTTTTTAATTAAAATGAAAATTTTAATGGGATAAATAAAATGAAGCCTTCAAGCACTACTGTTGCCTAATTTAGTTGAGACTTAACATAATTCATTTTGTCTAAGAAAAAATCCTTATGATTTATTCAAGTCCAAATAGGAATTCATATTATAATTTAACAAAACACAACAAAAACACATCATGAAATAATCTCCAGAGTAGCATTAGCTTCATATACTGAACAGGGACCTAAAAGACAAGATCTGAAGTACCTTGTTCTTCTGCTAGCTATAGTTAGATCCACCGCTATAATTAATGCATCTTTACAGCTTAGGTATTGATGGATTAGGCTACATAGGGATTGGAAATGCTGAAGAAATGCTTGAGTTAAACTCCTTCCCTCCCCAAGAGACTACTAATCTAAATCTCTACTGAACGAGAATTTAACTTTATTTTAAAGGTTAATTGGCTGACCGCTGTAAGAAATGCAAGACATGCATTCCAGTTAACTCGAGTCCTGTCTCTGGAACCTCTCCTCTGCAAAGCAACAAGCAGAATTGCTTCACTACCTTCATTGAGGTCTTCAATTGCTTTCCGCAGTCCTCTATCAAAGGCTCGTGCATCGGCAGGACTTTGAAAAGTGAGCCCAAACTTCCTGTTGTCGACTTTCCAGTGATGAAATGTAGGATTTGCTTTAGTGTAGACCAAGTCCTTTTTTACAAAGCATTCCAATACCACCTAAAAAGTGTCAGCATAAAAGTAAGGTTACACTTACACTTGAAGGGCATGGTTGTCACTGTGTTTTAGTATAAACTAGAATTTCCAGGCTTACAATCTCCCCAACACAAAATAAGCAAGTTATGAATCTGTTATGCTGGTAAGAGAATATCCTCAATGTTACACCATGTCAAAAGCAGGTGCAAATGAAACACTTTGAAACATCAGCTCCCTTGACAATAAGGCAAACTATATTACTAGCTCTTTTTATTTAACTTGCTTGTTTTCAAACACATATTATAAACCTCTACCAACCATTTGCAAGAGGTGGATTTTCAAACTTTTCTAGTTTATAAGTGAGTATCCTCGAAACAACAAGAAAAACTTAACAGGGAATTAAAACGGTTTTTTTTTAAACTTACAGTTTACATTTGCATATAAGTTTTATTCATTTTATTTTGTGCAATCAGAATAAGTCTTCTAAATAAATAACTATTGGAAGGAATGGAGATTATCAATTCATAAAAAGTCAACTTGTCCTCACATTCTTACTCCACTAGTCCACATCTTGAATAGCATGCAACATAAATAATTCATTGCAGTTTTAATGGCTTGAATTGCATTACTCAGTACACTACAATGTGACTGGCTTCATGAATTCTTTACACTTCAAATCACTTCTCACATATTCTTATTAGGGATTAGAAAAATAAATGTGTCAGTTTCATGTTTTAGGAGTCAAAGGTGGCTTATACATATATTACTGTTCAACGTGCAATTGCTATTTCAAGGAGATAACATGGCAACCTAAAAAACAAGTCATGACAATTTATTACTCATTTGAATTAGGATGGGGTAATTTTGCACAATCTGGAATTGCTGTTTTGAAACTCCTATAAGAATATGTTGATTTTGGACAGCTTTCCTAAGAAAACAGACTAAATTTGAATTAGGTTCTATTACCAGTTTGTCTTTTTGCCTTTCCCCATGGATTAGGAATCCACTTCTTCCATTACCCTCTGGGTACATGACCTTGCAGACACCAACTTTACTGAGACCGCCTCCTTCTTGCGGTAACCATCCCCCACTGGAGTCATCCCGGGTCATAACCACAGCTTTGACTCGCACAATATAGCTGTCACTGTAACGACAACAAAATAATTGCGTGAGATCACATATAATCTTACAGGAGTTTTATTTATTGCAATAGTTTAGAAGTACGGATCTGGACTCCAAATACTAGCACAACAATTTAAAGTTTCACCTGAGGTTAGTTATAAGTATCTATAACAGATGTTCTTACTGCCACAATCACTATACAAAATATAGTAATTGCCCAGTCTTATTTCAGGAAATCAATGCACAAATCACCATACCACAATCAAGACTGAAGCCTTTTATCCCATCCCATTAGGAATGGGAGACAAGTCTTGCAGCCTGCTCCACAGGTCTACAGATGTGGGCTCTCTATTGGACCACAAAAAGTAACAAGTTCCAGGGCTGACCGCCCCTTGTTGGAAAGCATCCAGTTAGTAGTCCCCTCTTGAACAGGGGGAAACAATTCTAGCACCAGTGTCAACACAGTACCAGGGCCCAAAACCCGCCCCCACCACAATAAATTATATTTGGAAATTCATCTGCAGCAAGCATAATATGCTCCCTGAGAATAAGAAGAGAACGAACTTTGCCGTATTCCACGTAAGCATACCCTCTGGGCACAGGAACAATTTGCCCGTCATTAATCTTTAGAGTCACACAAGAACTCTAAGGCAGCTCCACCTACCCCACAAGGAACATAGTGTACCTTCAAGATCTCATGGGCAGTGTTCAAAGGAGCAAATGTAACCCATACACCGAGTGTGGTTCACTGTCCCATGTAGTGGCACTTGGACCACTTACAGGGAAAGATAAGAACAAGGGGAGCTCCACAGCCTAAGCTGAAAGCCAGCTTGCTTTTAGCTCAAGCAGTAGAGCAGGGGTTCCCAGCCTTTTTCGGTCCCCGTATCCTCTTGGCTTTTAGTAAACCTTCCTGTACCCCCTATTCGATATAAAAGGAAAAATTCTAGACTCTAGAATCCACAACTTTTTTCACTACCACTACTTTTGGAATATTTCATTTAGGATAATCTAGTTATTTACCAAATATTCCCCGTACCCCCTTAACAAGCTTCTCGTAACCCCTGGAGGTACGCACACCCCAGGTTGGGAACCTCTGCAGTAGAGGCTTCTATAAGCTCCATAGGCCCCAGGTTCAAATCCGTCGGGTGGTGGTTACACTAACATATCAAGAGAATCAGCACAGATACCTGGTTAGGAGCAGATCAACAAATGCAAGCAACTAGCACAATTTCCATACTATGCCCAGGCCAGAAACACGTATGGAATCAAGGAAGGCTTTCTGACATTGCTAGACTTCTCTCACCATTTAGCAACGTAACTGAAATCAAAGAAGAGAGTCTGGTCTTCTCACCTTAAGAGATTCCCTGTGAGAGACCCCATAAACACATTATTTTCACCAGTCGCAGCTGGCAATCAAACAGGACTTTCACAAAGCATGGAAAAAGAAAGTCCAAATAGAAGGAAGCAGAGGTCAGTCCTGGACAAGGGGGTAACTACCCCTAACCTACCACCAATCTGAGTCAAAAAACTCTACATCTAGCGTGTGGCCAATATGGATGTAAAAGAGTAGTCAATTCGTCATCTACCCAATAAACCTAGGCTTGTCGGATAATCAAGTTGATTGCTCGCATTTCCCCCTTTCCCCCGCTGCTGCTATATCAGAGACAGTAGGGGGGGAAGCAGCAACTGGGGGGGGGGAGGAGAGCTGGCTTAAAAGCAGTTTCCCCCAGCACCCTCTCTGCAGTGCTGCATCTCTCCTCCCCCGGCTGCTGCCTCGATCAGAGACAGCAGTGGGGGAGGCACCAGAGGGGGCTGCTCTGGCAGCAGCCCCTGTCTGTGGGTGGTCCTAACTTCCTGGGACCTCCCATGGACAGGGGTGCTTTGCCGCAGCAGCTCCTGTCCCTGGCCTGCCCCAGCTGCCGCAAACAGGCTGCTCCACAGCAGCCTCTGTCTGGGGTGTGTGTGTCCGTCCAGACAGGGGCTACTGGACCTGGCGTGAGCTGGGACTGAGCAAGCCCAGCTCGGTCCTGGCCTGTGCCAGGTCCCAGAGCTATCCCCGCTGCGGCTGTGCAGTTTAAATGTAGTAGGAGACGGATTGCCTGCACACCCAGCTCTTACTACATTTAAACTGCAGAGCTGCAGCAGTGGTAACTCCTTCTGAGCACCTTCCCTTATCAACTAATTGTGTAGTCAATATAATTTGTATCGACTACACAATTACCCAGAGAGCCACTTGAACTATCCTTAGGATTGGTCAGTACGATTGGTCACTAAGGATGTTAAGAGGTGGGTATCAGATCCCCAGCTGAAACAAAAGAGACACCATGCACAATTATAATTACAATCATTTCCAGTGCTACAACGGACATCTAATTACCTCATGAACAGACACAGTAACACAGTATAATGATCTCTGTGGACGTGTCTGAGTCTCACTTTGTTATTGGGAAATATTAATGCAGAATATGCTTGTAAATGAATTAATCCACAACACAAGGGTAGGAAAATACAGAAGAAGAGAAAACTAATTGCTTGATCAAATCAAACATGCCATAAGTTTGTGTTAGTAAACAACACAACCTGTTCAGCCCCCTAAATATACTACCAAAGGATGCTTTTAAAATGGGCTAGACATCGACTTGATGGATGAGGCCTGAAATATATTTTTTGAGAAAGGCAGCACTATTCACCCTTCTGCACTTGGTAATTTTTTTTTAAACTTTACTATACACCATTAGCAATCCATTAAAAGCTGGTCCTGTTTAATGTAACAGTTGCATTTCTCAGATGCAACCATGTTTTAATATCTAGTAAGTCACTGACAGTAGTTTTGCTTTAGTTTAGCTATGTGGTTCGGAAAACGTTTGTTAAAAATAAATATCCTGTTTATTTCATGTTTTCCTCTCCATTTCATGGTTTATTTTCCACTTTAAATAACTTCAAAAATAGGTTTAAAAATAAGTTGTGCATGTAGTCCAAAATTACCACCACCCAGAAATCACACATGCATCCTTATTTGCACCCTATGGATTTTACATAAACAAATAACCAATGGAGAACAGCAGAGATAAAGCATGAGAAACTTTGGCATGTTTAGGGATTTTAAATTGCATTTCATCAGCTAATCGAGTAGTCAATGGAATTTCCATTGACTATTCGATTAATCAATAAGGGGGGGAACTGCAGAGCTGCAGCAGGGTTAGCTTCCAGCCCCAGGAGTTAACTCAGCTGTGGCTTTGCCTTTTAAATATAAAAGTCAAAAGAAGGGCTATTGGCTTATTACAGAGCACTAGCTGGCTCACTTTGCAGTCCTGTGGCACTGTTATAGCGTGCCCGCCCGACCAGCATGTCCCTTGGCATCAGAATGCGATCCATGTTTGTATGCATCTCAGTGGTAACAAATGTTCAAACTACAACCCAAAGTCTCTCCAAAAATAATCAGCCCTTCCTTGCCTAGGCTCAGTCTTCAATCTCCCTTCTGATAACTCCAGAGTTTTCTCTTAATGCTAGTGTTTGAGCAAGGGCCTCAGAGTCTCCCTGAAGTATTTGTTCTCCTGCAGACTCGGGCCCCTTCACAGGTGATCCATTCCCTTTACAATATCTTAGGCCCACCTCCTTAAGGGGAAAGCAACTAATTACAGCACAGGTGCAATAGGTGTAACTAATTAACTCTTATTCCCTTTCTATCCTGTGATGGGGTTTTGCCCTTTCACAGGTATGCTGAAGCAAATTCCAAGATAGGAGTGTAACTAAAAGACACCTCAACTAGCACTGTTCTGTATTTCAGCTGTAGGATTCACACAGAGACTCAGTAAGTACAATTATTTTTCTCTTGTATCCCCAAGTTCAGTTTCCTCATTTGGAATGTCAAAAGCAGTGCCCAGAGCAGGAAGTCGGAAATCTACCTGGCTGTACGGTGCAGAATCTGTCTCCTAACGAGCCTTCATAGAGGTCTGAATGTTTACCTCTGGTAGATGGTGGATAAATATATGGATTGATGCCTATGTGGTTGCCCTGCAGAGTACATAGAGAACTTCTCTTTTCCTGGGAGATTCAACCACCCACTTGGAAAATCTTCAGAAGTTACCCAATATCTGGAAGTATCCTAAAGAAAATTGAAGGCCTATCAAGATTGGCAAAACATATACGAGTCTGCCACACAGCAGAGCCTCTGCTTCTAGCTGGATGTACCAGGAATCATGTTTTGTGGTGATGAGTGTTTTGGAAAAGTCTCTCCAGGATGGTTCTCTTTTCTTAATTTATTCACTGGACTTTTGGCACTCTTATTGGATTTGCATGCCAATTAGTTTCCTGAGGACTGTCTGATAGTTTAGTATGGCTTTTATTCCCCTATACGCAGTCTTGTACAAGGTAAAGTCTTATCTTCTGTTTCCCCTGGGCCTCTGCCATTTGCTTTTTCCATTGACGCTCCATGACATTTTCCAACATATTTTGACGTTGCCATCAGCTGCTTTGCTTGGACATCTGTTTTTAATAAAGTCAGTTATGCATGCATTGCTGCCCAAAGCTCTGGCTGAGATGTGCAGCGCATCAGTAGAACTGAGATTAAGTAGCTAGGGATTTCTTCAGAAATGTTGCTGCCATCGCTTCCTGACATTTTATACCTCTATAGGAAAAATTCAGATGAGTAGGTCCCTAGTCTGATTGATCCAGACATTAGTATTTTCCCAGTAAAATTTGTTACGTAGTCATTGGCTTCTACTAAACATTTCTAAATTTGGTTCACAGTAACTATTAAATATTTGATTTGCTCTATTCTGGATACCAAGTAGCCAATTTACATACACAACACCCTTCTCAAAGAAAATTGACTGGTTTCAAGAAAGCACTGTCCATCGTGATTTTTTGAGCTCTCTTCTCCTGTTCTTTATTTTGTCATATAGGGTACGTCTAGACAGACTTTTGTCGACAGAGGCTTTGTCGACAGATACGGTCAACAAAGCTTCGGTCAACAAAGACCGTCTAGACTACATCCAGTTCTGTCGACAAAGCAAGCTGCTTTGTCGACATGAGAGTGTAGACGCAAAGGGCAGTGTAAATCGACAGACAGTCTTACATTGCCATGGAGGACCTGGACACAAATTAAGTCAGACCAAACCGCAAAGAGAAGAATACAAAAACAAACTAAATACTGAGGTTAGCTCGTTACAAATACAATTCAATAGTTATAAAGTGGGGACCACTAAAGAAAGAGAATGTTAAATGAAATCCACTTGACTGCAGACAAGTGATAGAGCAGCCAGGTTCACTGGCTTGAATGACTACAAGTGGCTGGACTAATGTTGTAGGAACTAAAAATTGGTTGCTTACAGATGACTTTTAACATAATAATCGATAGAATCCTAACTTAAAAAGAACCAATCTGAGATGAAAGTAGCACATTTCCAAAATAAACCCCAGATTAGGGATGAAAAATCCCATTTAAAGTGTTAACTGGTTAAACTATATATTTAACTGGTTAACCAGCCTGTCATGCGACGCTGGTGATGCTTAAGGGTAACTGGTTAACCAGGGATGGTGGTTATGATAGGCAGGCACCAGCCTGGCCCCTTCCATACTCCACTCCCAGAATGCCTACCTATAGGTGCCCTGGGAGTGGAGTGTTGCTGCCCTTGAGTCCCCCCACCCTCTCTGAGCTTTGGGGCTGCAGCAGCTGGGACTGTGTCTCCACTGCCCCACCTCCCTGTGGCCAGAAGGGGTGGGGCTGGGGACTTTTACTTTCATCCACCGCCTATGTGGTTAACTGTTTACATACCTACCCCAGATTCCGCGTTTCTGCAGTTGCCTGGGGAAATGTATAGATAAATGCAGGTTCCAGAGAGCCAGGATTACGTCTCCATTTTAAAGACTGTAACTTCAGGAGATTCAGGCTTTTACCAGAAGAGAAATCTAATTTCACCCTGAAAATGAGATCTTTATCTTCCTCTGTCACAGCAAAAAACAACACTGCCAAACAGCAGTTTCTAGTTTGTGAGATAAGAATTGCTCTTCTAATACAGTCAGTTGAAATTCTGTCTCCAGTTCTTAGCAGAAGGCCACATTTATACTGTACACTCCTTAGAGCCACTGTGTCCAACACAATAGCCACTAGCTATATGTGGCTTTTTGGCCGGTTGAGAGTGGCTGGTTCACTAGAGCAGTAGCCATTATAGTGGCTACTGCTTCAGAACTGGTTGGACACCGCAGCCTTAGAGCTAAGGATGTTAAGAGGTAGGCAATTCACTAATCGTGTAGTCCAGGGGTGGCCAACCCATTTAATAAAAAGAGCCGAAACAGTGGTGGAAAAAATGCAAAGAGCCACACCAGAATTGTCAAGCAAAAAGGGGGGGGGGGGGGGGGGGGGGGGGGGCCACGCAAATAAAATAATTAAAAAAAAGGAGGTTGCCCCTTTAAGGAACAAGCAAGCTTAGGTTTTTTGGCCATATCAGGCTCCCGTCAACGGCCACCATCTTGGGTGCCATTTTGAATCACCGACCCAGTGAGCACAGGGGAGCCGGGCTGGGAGGGAAGAGGCTGTTTGGGTGTGGGGGGTGCACAGAAGCAGCTTCACAAGCCACACTTTTTTGGGGAGAGGAGCTGCACGCGGCTTGAGAGCCATGGCTTGGCCATGGCTGGTGTAGTCGATAATTTTTTATTGACTACACAATTACTCAATAAGGGAAAGCTGCTGTGGCTCTGCAGTTTAAATGTAGTAAGAGCTGGGCATGGGAGGAAGCGCATAGGCGAGTAGTTGACTCGACTACCCAATAAGCGTACTTGCCTACATCTCTACTTAGAGCAGGGACAGGCTCCCCTTCCTCATAGATCACCAAACACTGCATTGCCATTATTTCCAACTATACTATTAAAAAAGACCAAGGATAATAATTATTTGGTTTCATTATTAAGGCACTGTGCTAGCACTCAGGAGATGTGGGTTCAATTTCTAGTTCTGTCAAACTTTAATTAAGGTCTCTATACCCATTTTAAAAGTGGAATAAGCAACGCTTTTTTATTCCATAACAGAATCGCTAAATACCGGGGAGGTATTCAGCTTTCTATAGTGTTGGGTCATAAAAATACCTACTATCTTCTGCATGCAACTATTTATTTTCTTAGCAATATAATTTCTAGTGACTACATTATGGCCTTGACTAGTTGCAAGCAACTCATTATCCTCCACAGTTAAATAATTTACAAATACTGTATCAGCATTATTGGTTCAGAGCCGGTAGAAACTCAGGATCTTGTTGATACATCCATCTATTTTTATTGTGCTGCAGCTACGTTTTTCAAGATCTATTCAGAGCACGTAAAATGTGGATTTACTTCTATGTATATTGAATGCCATTAAGGTTAGATAAATGCCAGTCAGTGTACAGTAAAACTACTAAAGGAACCAACTGGAAGTGGCTTAAATTCCTCCCATTTTATTGGCTTATAAAAATTTTAAGGCATCCTTTGTTTGGTTTGTTTATGGCCTACATACTGTTTGAACAATCTATTATTATTAGTTAATTGGAATATTTAGCTATTGTAACTTTAAATTATTTGTCTTAAATAGTGTTAAAAGAAAATACCTGCTTAGATTATCTAACTACATGGCAGGATTCCAACCTTTTCTATCATCACTGTGTTTCAAGGCTGTTACTCAGCCTCACCCAGAACCAAAACCATAATGGAACTTTGGGGCTAAAGGTAGCATGTAGTTTGCTACACATTTTTTTTATTGGAAGGAAAAACACAACCTATTTAAAGTTATTGCTCATGGGCATTTTTTTAAAAAAATTGGCAGGCTAGTTAGAACTTCCCTTTAGGGAAAACAAAACAAAACAATGATTTTGTATTAAGCATATCACTAACATGAATATTTTACCAATTCTTTTTCTAAAAAACCTAATGTATAAAAGATGAGACACATATATAAAGAAGTTGCAATATAAAGGATGTTTTACTTTCAATTCTCAAGGATCCATTCAATATGAAGCATCATTGTGTCGGTATCACCCAATACCCTTGTTTGTTACACTAACTATTCCAGAATGAGAAATCAAGGCAAAAATTTTGTCATGTTAAATGTCTACCCTGGGGTTTGGTTCCAATGGCTGCAACTGTGTATCCAAAATTCCATCATATCAAATAATTTATTTTCTAATTAAGCACTTCTTGGGGATGGGGGGGAAGAAACTCATCATCTGGAATGAGTGGAATAAAGGGTAAGGAGTCTGGATATTTTGCTAGCTATTATGTGAAGCAACTCTCCTCCCCACCCCCAGGTACTCAACCCCAATACCTGTAGTCCTGTTTCTCTTCACAGTTTGACTAATCTGCTACTTCAACAGATATTTTCCACACCCTCCCTCATTTGACACAGATTAGAATTTCATGGCCCTGCTGAATTATTTTCCTCCTCTGCAAGTGGACACAGCTGGTAAGAGCAAAGCTAAAATTAAAAGGAAGGAGACAGAAGAGAAAGATGAGAGGGTAGGGGAAATGGATGGGTTTCTTGCAGTAATACATAAACCTCAGACCAAGATCTATTTATTCATTACACAGAAGAGTCTTAAAAAGTGCACAGTTTCTTCTAATAAAACATTTACTTCAAAACATGCAGAACATTTTTCCTACCAGTTTACTCCTTTTTCCATTTAGCAAATACTGTCTTGATCTATCTTTCTCTGCTGATGGCTATCTGTAATTTAAAGATGCCATCACTTGTGGTCCGACAGTTCTGGGATCAGGGACTGTTAATTGAATGGCTGCTTCTGCAATATCAATAACATGCTGTGCATTAAAAGTGGCCTATAAAAAGTTTCTCCGCAGAGAGGAGAGGATGCTTCCTATCTAATGATTACTGTTCTAACGTTGGTCTAATATTGGGTCTATGTCATTTTAAAAGAAGGGGTAAATTTAAATAATAAAAATCATAGTTCCTACCAATTCCTGATCTCCTCCATCTCTTTCATGCTGCTTCCCCCCGCCCATTAAAATTCATTCTGTGATTATGTCTGTAATTTCTAAAATGTCTAGTTGTACTTTAAAATACTTACTCTTTCTTTTAGTCACTCATCATACTTCTAAAATCTCAAATGCTTTCTTCTGGAATATTTATTTCAGCATATCCTTTAGAAGTTGGCAACTCTCCTCTACAAATTATATTTGTCTAACTGCCTTTTCTAAACACATAAATTCTGCATGAACTTCCTTCAGGTTAGCGTTTACCTCTGCCTCCTTCCCCTTTGCAGAGTGCAACACAGATAGCTGAAGACCAGACAAAACAGCCAGCACTAGAGCTCCCACTCCAATCCATCAGGTCAGGTCTATATTTGGAAATAAAGTCTCAGGGGGGTAGCCATGTTAGTCTGTATCTGCAAAAACAAGGAGTCCGGTGGCACTTTAAAGACTAACATGCATCTGACAAAATGTTTTTTTTTTTTACCAGTGAAAGCTGATGCCCAAATAAATCTGCTAGTCTTTAAGGTGCCACAGGGCGCCTTGTTCTTGGGGAAAAAGGCATATTTAGCTACACAATTTTTCCCTCTACACAAGGCCTTGAGGGAGAGGGAAGGCTAAATGATCTCAGAGGAGCAGGAAGAAACCCTACTCTAGGGCACCAAACTGATGGACTCTCTCCCACATTGTCTGAAGAGTAGATTTCTCACCTCCTGACAAATGACTGTGAAGATACAGTAGCCCTGAGGAGCCAGGTAGAGCTAAACAGTCCACCCCAGTGTTCCATGTAAGCAGCACACTTGCGTGGCCACTCAAGAGAGATTCAAATGTCACCCACAGAGTGCTCACAGCCAGGTATTTTGTTACTACTGGTGGTGCACATTTGCACATGCCTCAGTGCGCATAAAAATTATTCTTGCTCATAGATGGAAAAGATTAGTCCAACCCCCCCCCCCCCCCCCCACTCTGCCAGAGGCTGTCTCAATTTTTTATGCCCCTTCGGCTCTTTTCCATATCAGATCCCCCTGTATTAGAGCACCCCATGTTACCTGTTTGATTTACAGAGGTAGAAGTTGATTTTCTCTGTGGGAACTTCAGACCTCTTTGCCCTGTCAGGCTGGTTAAGTACTGGAATAAACTGTCCAGGGAGATTGTGGAAATGCTATACTAGAGATTTTTAAGAGCATGTTAGACAAACACTGGTCAGGGATGGTCTAGATCAGTAGTTCCCAACCTTTTCCAGATGGGGACCCATTTTGACAATTCAAGGAAGACTTGGTGACCCAAGGAAATTCAAAAATGAGGAAAGGAGGGAGGGCAGAGCCACCTGGGGAGACACTTGGCAACCCTTTTGAAATGTAATGGCAACCTAGATTTGGGTCGTGACCCATAGGTTGGGAAACCCTGGTCTAGATAGTACTTAGCTCTGCCATGTGTGCAGGGGACTGGACTAAATGACCTCTTGAGATTCTCTCCAGTCCCAAGATGCTATGAACTATAGGAAGACTGATAACTGGGTTCCTGCCTCCTAAGCAGGAGAGCAAGGAAGAGAGAGGTTGTGTTTCTCCAGAGTAGCCAGAAGTTTCCATGGAGCAGATAGGTCTCCTCGCTCTCTCCTCCAGCTTACGGAAGAACAAGAGATGGTTTTGTTTCTAAACGTTTCAGCTTTTTGCACCTTCTGTTACTGAAACACACTGAAGAAATGGATGTCGAATTAAACAAGTGTTAAGGCTTTATTTAGACTGAACCAGATTTTGGAAAGGGGGAAGCTGAGGAATGTGCTCACTGGTTTACAGATACATTGAGTTTTATTTTATATTTATTACGTTCAAGAAGCCTGATATTAGGGTGAATTGTCCTGGCACCAACTGTGAGAATTTAGGGGGAAAACTAACTTCAGGCACCCAAGGAAAAGTGAGGTTTTAAGATCCAATGTGTTACAGCAAAACAAAAGAAAGAACCCTAATCTAAATGTGTACAAGTAACATCTATTTTAGGGGCTCCCCAACTTCATTGCACCATGACCTTCTCCTGACAGTAAAAATTACTACCTGATTCCAGCAGTGGGGACCAAAGCCCGGGCCCCACAGCCCCATGTGGAAAGGGCTTGGGGCAGGGGGGGAGGAACTGAAACCCAGGGGCTTCTGCCTGGATGGAGGGACTTGGGTTTTGCTTCAGCCCCGGGACTCTGGCTTTTGGCCTAGGCCTGGGCCCCAACAAGTCTAACACCAGCTTTGGTGACTCTATTAAAATGGGGACCTGTCCCACAGTATGACACCCCTATATCTACTTAATGTAAAATGTTGTTTGATACATGCTACAGCTCTCTCCCAATACCAAAGTACCAAATCGCTTCTCAGGATTCTTGTTACTACACTGAATCATTTTTAAGGTCAGCTAACACTCTTCTGTATTTGGCTTGGCTACAGGAAAAGTTAAAATTTCACCAGCAATTTCTGTCAGCCTATCAGTGTTGCACTTGCAAGCCATTTTTTTCCTGACTTGTGAATCTGATATGGCTAAATATCACAATAATCTAAACCTTCAGAGGGGGAGCCGAGTTAGTCTGTAACCGGAAAAGCTTAAAAAATAACAAATAGTCTAGTAGCACATTAAAGACTAACAAAATATGCAGATGGTATCATACCATCTACATGTTTTGCTAGTTTTCAAGGTGCTGCTAGACTATTTGTTAAGTTTTTACAAACTGCAATGTCAGAATAATTTGTTCAGTGTATTTATGTAGTGACGGGTGCAAAAATAAAGCTTTCAAATGCTCTTGGAGGTCACTGCTTTTCATAACTTCTGGGTATGGGATTTTTTTTGAGACCCACAATGACTAGTAATAATTATATGGTGGAACTCCCAATGTAAAGTGTTTCTCATATCTTGGCCATTTTCAAATGGTGTGTGGACTAAAATGTGATGGATGCTAGTATTTTTTTAAATTAAGAGGCTTAAAATAACATGTTAAGATCTTCTTACATCACAGTAATTTCTAGGTCTGCTAGAAATCCAAAAGGAATTGAAAAGCCCAGTCTCCAATTCTTACTCTGGTTTCACAGACAACTTTTAAAAACGAGTAGTCTTGTGTCACCTTAGAGTCTCAGTCTCTCTGTCTGTCTCTCTATAAATAATCATGAGCTTTCATGGGCAAAACCCATTTCCTTCAGACGAGATGATCATGAGGCCTGATTTCACAGGGCTCTTCCCCCATCAAAGGAAAATCTTGGGCTTTGGTCCTAATACACAGAAAGTCCTAAAGTCTCTTTAGGCATCCAAGCTTTGCCAATGGGTCAAGAACAAAGTATTGCAGAAGAAAATAAAGTGTATGAGCAAGAAGTCTTTCACCATCGCTCTCACCAAAGGACAAACTTTGGGTCTGAAACACAAGGACCTAATGAGGAATTCCAGAAAAGACTCTTCTAGCTTTTTTTTTTTTATTGTATCCTTTGGTATATATGGTTGTGCCAATTTTCTTCCACTATTTGATCTGAGGAAGTGGGTCTGGCCCACGAAAGCTCATCACCTAATAAACCATCTTGTTAGTCTTTAAAGTGCTACATAGTCCTGTTTTTTGTTTCAGCTACACCAGACTAACACGGCTGCATTTCTAGCACTATTCTTCTAGCTTATACCTTCAAAGGCTTCAGGCGGGCATCCAGATCTTAGATGCTCAATCCTTTCTTTTGAAGTCAAAGAAAGCTGAATCTCAGTTAAAAGAGCTTTAAGAAATACATCCTTATCAGTTAAATGCCTGGAAATGCAAAGTTAAGGTTTTAAACATTTAAAGTCATTTGACAGTTGGAAAACATGCAAATTCAACAATTAAAGTCACCCCAACAGCCTCAACTTTGCCCTCATAATGCTGCTAGCTTCCAGCTTTCCCTTTTTTTTGTTACTGCCAACTTCTAAAACTGTTTACTTTAATACTATTATAAAGCAACTCTTGAATCCAAGATTAACCACCTACCCTTAAAAAAAAAAAACGGTTAAATTTTTCAGTTATCTAGGAGTAGGATCAGGGTCTTCTTGCTTTGTGAAGTCAATGGCACTATTGAAGATCACCAGACGGCAGTGATGACAAATTGCATGAGTAGAGAAGGGAAAGGAAGGTGAAGATTAAGATACTATTGTACGACCATATGATTTGTTTTGGGTACCTATGTGGAAACTATATTAAAAAACAAATATTCTCTAATCATATCTTCAAAGTGACTAAAATATTTTTTAACTTCTGGTACCAAGCAATATCTTAAGTTTTATATAAAATGGATCTGGGAAGAAACTAGTATTTAAATATTGCCTCGTGAACACAGTATTGTGCACACAGAAACATTTCCTTGTAGACTGTGAGGGTACAGAAGAGTCTGCAGGCTTATAGCTGGGTCTTAGCTGCAGGCTTATCTGCCATGCTGCTCCCAGTGAAAGTGAGTAGATGTTTTAGATGCTGAGGTTTTTTGGCTGGTTAAAAGCCAGCCAAAGATTGTGTGTGCAGCAGAAGGTGACGGAGGAGTCCCGTTTGCAATGTGAGCTGCTTCTCTTCTGAAGGACACGTCAATTACGCTGAACTTCAGGATTGAAGCTGCTGGAGTGTGAGGCAACTAGAAAGCAGAGCTTTCTTTCAGGCAAAGAGGCCAATCGGAGCATCAATGTGTGGAGAAGAGCTGAGCAGCTCTCTCTTCAGTTCTGATTTCATTTTCTAGAGCAG